AATGTTTCTTTGGGTTTTAGATTTCTTTTTTTTTTTTTTTTTAAGGAAATAGGTGATCCAAGCTTGTGCTGAAGTTATTCGGGTTTAACCCAGTAAGCTGCCATTTTGTAGCACACTAGTTAATATTTGATAAGGATAAAAGTTACAGGATATGAAAAAATTATGTCTCATCCAAGTTCAGCTTTCAGTTTGATGCCTCTCACTGGTTCTAATTGGACTAAATAACAGATCATTGATTAGCCCTATTCAGTCATTATTTGTGACTAGACATGCATTGGCATACTTTAGACTATCACTCTCTACAATGCCACAGGAAAAGTGACCTGATTATATAAATTTGTAATTTATTAAAATCTTTTCAAATCCACAGCTCCAAGATCCACTTTAAAGTTGTCTTTCATATTAATTTTAACTGAGGCATCTCTAAAACCAAATAAATGTTTAATCATGAACTCCATATGCTGTTGATTTGTTGATGTGATCCACTTTATGAATTAAGCATTTGTTGCAGGCCGTTTTGATTAAGCAGTCGGCTGTTATTTTTAACTGATTTTGACCCGAGCTTTTAGTATGCGTATGTGTGTGTTCATGTGCAAGCACACATGTATGTATGCATGTGTGCACATGCATGTTTTGTTTAAATCTGTTTTGCATGATATTCATCTCCCTCTCTAGTTCAGCACCGCAACCTTCAGCATCCTGTGGTGAGCTGACACAGTTTAACGCTCACCACGGAGTGAAGAGCAGAGCTGGTTACAGCTGAATATGAAACGTTGCTTCCCAGTAGCGGAAATGGCATCCTAATTCAACTTTTTTCTTCATAGAGGAGGAAAATTAAAAGGAGAGGGTAGAGAGGAGAAGGAGAGGGCACATTGGGGCGGGGGAGACTTCTGTACTTGGCCAGTCCTCTGCACGGAGCCTGGGCTCTATGTGCTGCTTCGCACCGTCGCCCTCTGGGGGAAATGGGAGTAGTGAGCCTCACTGAGCTTTGATGAAATGGCTACTGACAAACTATGTGCACAATTCTTTGGAGGTAAATTAGGCTGAGAGGAAGGGAGAGAGAGAGAGGGGAGGGAACAACAGATCATCCACTGCCGAAAGGGCTGTTCCCACCTACTGTCATTTTAATGAGAAATCTGTGAGAAGATATAAGCAGGCCAAGGTGAGAGTATCCTGTTCATTCACCGTAACCAAACTGCTCTTGTGTTTAGTGCAAGTTCAGCAACAGTCAACAACATGCAGCATAACAATAGACATATGTGGGCAATGATGATCAGTCAAGAGCTCTTTCAAAGCATATTTAAAGCATTATGCATTTTAACATTAATGCTTTCTTACTTTCCCAACACGTCATAGGCAACATGATATTTACAAAAACAACGAGCAGTTCCTCTACCACACTGACTATACAACATGTTTACAGTGTAACGTGATATTTAAACCTGGAAACGGTGTTCTTGTTTTAATAGCAGATTGTGTGGTTTTGCTTTGTTTGTAGTATACCATGCTGTCTGGTCAGGTGCCTTTCCAGTGTCAGGAGAAGAGCCTGACCCACACTAGTGCTGAGGAAATTATGAAGAAAATCAAACAAGGAGACTTCTCTTTTGAAGGAGAAGCCTGGAGAAACGTATCCCAGCAGGCCAAGGACCTGATACAAGGTAGGAATAGAACTGATGGCTCACTGTTTAATCCAGTAGGTTCAAGTATGAAGAAAGTCTTATTTCATGTTAAGACTGCAATTCAGAGATACAGTAGTAGTAGATTTATAGTGTAATGTATACGTGTTAATGGTGGTAGACATCATTCCAATGTACAGCATTAAATTTGGCCAAAATAGGAACAGAATAATAAGAGTTTCTAGTGTGCACCTTAGCTGATAGCCTTTGAAGTCTCAGCCATTAAGTGGTCTTCATCTTAAAAAATGCAGGAATGTTCCCATTATGAATCCTGATCCTGGTGGAGCCTTTAACCCACAAAGTGGCTCACAGAAGTTGAACAACCTAAAAAGAAAATCATTTCCTCTCTGTGGCTCACTTGCGGCTTACCTTTTCACTCATGTATTAAGAGCGCTACAGGTAATTATCTGTCTTGTTCCTGCAGAGCTGCTGACAGTGGACCCAAGCAAGAGGATTAAGATGTGTGGCCTCCGTTACAATGCCTGGCTTCAGGACGACAGCCAACTGTCCTCAAACCCCCTCATGACCCCGGACATTCTCGGCTCCTCCACCGCCTCTGTCCACACCTGTGTCAAAGCTACCTTTAATGTAATAAATGACATTTTTAGATGTACTGTCTCAACTGTTTGCTTTCAGTTGTAAAATGCTGTGTTGTGTTAAACAATTACAATGCAAATTGTCAACTTGGAATCTTAATAACTGGCTCGCCATTCCCCTTTCTTTTGTCCCAGGCATTTAACAAATGTAAGCGGGAAGGTTTCCGCCTGCAGACGGTGGACAAGGCACCACTAGCCAAAAGGAGGAAGATGAAGAAGACAAGTACCAGCACAGAGACCCGCAGCAGTTCTAGTGAGAGCACCCATTCCTCATCCTCCTCCTCCCAGTCTCAGGAGAAGACTTTTCCAGAGGGTGAGGCCAACCCGCAGCCGTCCAGCAGCACTCCTCTCACCACCCCTGTGGTTCTGGAAACAGACTCTGAGCACCAACCAGCGCCTCCAGCCTTTCATTTCTCAGAAGGACAGTGAGAGGAAAAGGGACATTCAGTCAGTTCCATGAATCACAGGAAGTCTCGGACCAGTGTAGAAACAGCCCTCTCCTCTCTCTGTCCCTGGCAGCTCTCTGCCTCTGGCTTAATTGCATGGGTGTCTGCACATCTCCTAAAACAAGCATGCAGCGGGAGCAGTAACCGTCACCTTAATATCAGTCAATCAGTCCTCACTAGCAATAGCCTATCCCCTTCTCTCTCTCTCTCTCTTCTCTTTCTCTCTCTTTCTCACTCTCTTCTCTTTCTCACTTTCACACACAGACTGTATCAATCAGGGACTGGACCAAGAAGATGTTGTCACTGGTGTCCAAAACAAAAAGGGCTGCCCTACTGCCCCAGGTACAGACAGACAATGAAGTGACACCTTAACTTGTTCTGTCCACTCCATTTGCCTGTCTTTGTCCATGCCTTCAGAGGCTTTAAATGGAACGTCGCCATGTTTACACCATGAACGCTTTGTATTTTTTGTCAAAGGGAGAGAAGACATGCAACACGCTGCAGCGTAACGTACCGTGGGTCCACATCTCTTTTGCAAGAAGGAGCAGGGTATTTATATGTGAATTTTACAGACTGAAATGTATTTATGATAAGCTATATTGTTAATTTATTTATGGTTCAGACTGATCTGAAAAGAAACAATGGTATCAGTGAATCTTAAAAAAGATATTTTGTGTACACGTGTGTTTCTCCTTGTCAGCTCAAAAGATTTTCATGTAGTCAGATGGTTGTTCATACGTCTTTGTAGTCACCATAGGCATTAATGCTTCTAGTCTGTTCTTGAGGTACAGCTATGTGGACATTGTCATTTTATTATAGGCAAGAAGAGATTAACACAGTTAGCTACTGGTTAATGCTTTAGAACCAGTTTGCTGGATTTGTGAAAGACTTTTTAAATTATTTGTGGAGGCTGGTGAGTTTTGGGACTGAACTGCAGCTGTATCCAGTGGTCGAAAAAGTCAGACCCTAGTTTATAAGGCTTAAAGAAGCAAAACTGTAAACATCTTTTTGTAGAAAGACCCAAATGTGGATGTAGTATGTTCAGCCAAATTTGTGGTGTTATTGTTGTATGGGGAGTACTGCTGCCTCAGATGATGTGACTACAAAAACGGCTCTATTTTGCCTGTAATGTGAGAGTATGGCCACTTAAAGACTCAGCACTACTCCTGTTGCACATGGCCTAATCTTCAAGTGAGTATTTAGCCCAGCAGTGGATTTGCCTTGTATAGTGTAAGACTTAATTGTGTCATTGTCACTACGACCAATTGGACTGAGCAGAACGGAACATCCAGATCAGCTTAGTGCGAGGTGAATGCATCAGGAAGTTCCAGGTTGCTTTTTGAGATCCCAAAGGGCAACTTTAAGTAGCTTCCTTTGCAGATAAAACCAGATACAATTATTTTAAAGTGGATATGTTTATGTGCCAAAAATACCATTAAATCAGGTGAGGGTCAGGTTTAAACTGTGGTGAGGTGAGGTGGGTGATACACAAGGACATTTTAAGGCAATATTGTTAAAAAAAAAAAAAAAGTTGCCTCTTGTATCACTACCCTAAGTCTTAAAGCAACGGCAAAATCTGTACCCTTTATGAAACTGTCACACTGCTGAGGACAGACCTCAGACAAACACTTCTTGTGCTTTTACAGAGGTCCCTTGCTCTGTTTACCACGTTGTACTGCATGACTGAAGTGGTGATCTTTGTGTGACAGCTCTCAGTTCGAGGTAGATGTCTGGTTAGTATTAAGTCCCAGTGCACGATGTCTACTGAAACATCAGCCTCTTTGCGTGTGTGTGTCTGTGGGATGTTTTTGGTAGGAGGGAGATTCTTACTTGATTTAATGTCAGTCCACACATTTTAATGTCCCAGATTCAGTTTGGGGTTTAGAAACGTTATTGTTTGAAGCGTGAGACCCCTTTTACAATTGCCTGAATATTGTAATGTCTAAATACCAGTGTTAGCCGGGTAGTAGGCAAGTAAAATACCATGTTGTGTTAATTGTTGTTGTTTTGTTGTTTGTTTTTTCAAGTATGTGTTGTCTTTTCCATGGTAGTAGTTCAAATTCTGTCTATATGTACAGGGGTATTGGTGATTATGTGAAGCTGCCTGGAAACAGTCTCTCCTGCTTGGGCAGGATGCAAATTTCTGGTTGGATTACTGTGTGCATTTAAACACACTCACTCACCTTCTTCCATTTTAATGCACAATGATTCTGAACCAAAGCATTAACTTCAAGGTAGCTGCTCTAAGCTGCATGAGATGTTTTCTTTCATGCAAATATGCAACAAAATGCTTCACGGTTTCTGTTTGTTTAGTTCAACTGGTGAAGTTTGTCGGACATTTTTAGCTCAGATCATTTTGTAACTGTATGTTTTGTTTGAGAGATTCTTTACAAGATTTATCATATCCAGCACATTATCATGCTTAAAACTATGCATCTCTTTTTTCCTGTTGCATTGCTTTTGCCATTTCAAAACATAGTGCTTAAGAGGGCGTAATGTGATGTACATAGTATGTTACTTTTGCTCCCATAGCATCAGCCACAGTAGTAACAGAAAGACTGGACCCATTGCCCATACGAGAAGCTGGAATCCTTGGAGCTAAACACTACAAAGCTCTTGTCTAACTTAGTTCACATGAGTTCCCCGTTGCTGCCTCATTAAGCCTCTTTTCTTTTGTTTGGGTGTATTAATAGCTCAAGTGGAGGAAGAGGAAGAGTGTCCTATATTGAGCTCCCCTCTGAGAGCCAGCCTCTATTAGCTGATGTGCTGCAGCGCTGTTTGTTCCAAAGAAAATACCGTACTCCACTCACTGCCTCTGTGGGACCCAGCTC